TTTGAAAGACTATTTCGAGATAAACATGAATAATTCGGTGGAAAAAGAATCGTCTGGGACGCAAGCAAAGCTGTCATGAGGGGATTCTTGATACAACAGAATGTAGTAAGGAAAAAACACAAAATGAGAAAAAAGACAAGATCTTGGATAAAATAAAAGAATTAGAGAAGAAATTAAGAGTAAATCCAAAGTCACAGCCAACTCTGAGAGAAATTAAACTGTATCAAACACAATATTCTAAATTGATAAATCAGGAAATTGAATGGAAGATTAAATTAATGAAACAAAAACGTTTGAGTCGGCGAATAAATGTGGAAAACTGCTATCTTGGCAGTTGAAGAGAAGACAAAGATTAAATACGGTTACAAATTTAGAGGTTGATGGAAGAAACATTCAGAATCCAGTGGACATTAGAAAGTGTTTCCAGAGATATTTTAAAAAACTATATACCCAAGGGCCGCAAGACGAAGTCGAGATTAAACAATTTTTGGCAAAAATGGATTATCTAAACTGTCACAAGAAAATAGGACAACCCTGAACTCTAAAATAACACGACAGGAGATTGAACAAGCTATTCAGAACATGCAACTTGGCAAATCTCCAGGGCCAGACGGGCTGACCTCCAAGTATTATAAGACACTAAAAGACTATTTGATACAACCCTTGATGGAGGTTAGCAATGAAATTATGGAGGGGAAGAGGGCACCGGATTCGTGGAAGGAAGCCTTTATCACATTGATACCAAAGTCAGAAGCTGAAAAGACACAACTGAAGAACTACCGTCCCATCTCCCTTTTAAATGTGGATTACAAAATATTTGCAGATATTTTGGCAAGTAGATTTAAAAAGTTTTAAATGAAGTAATTCATAAGGACCAGGCCGGTTTTCTCCCAGGTAGACATCTGTTTGCTAACACAAGGAACATTATTGACATCTTGGAACTTCTCCAAACTGACATAAATACAAAAGCAGTTTTAATTTTTATAGATGCGGAGAAGGCCTTTGATAATATTTCTTGGAAATTTATGATGGGAAACTTAAAAGAGATGGGAGTGGGACGGGGTTTTGAGAATGGGATTGAGGCGATATATTCAGAACAGAAAGCTAAACTGATAGTTAATAATGTGGTTACAGAAGAGTTCAAAATTGAAAAAGGGACACGACAAGGCTGCCCTATCTCCCCTTTGTTATTTATTTCGGTTCTGGAAGTGCTATTGAACATGATTAGAGGGGACCAGTTGGTGGAAGGAATTCAGGTTGGCCAGAAACAATATAAACTAAAAGCTTTTGCAGATGACCTGGTTTTGACCTTGCAGAAGCCAGAGCCTAGTACGAAAAGAGTATTACAATTGATTAATGACTTTGGTCGGGTGGCGGGATTTAAATTAAATAAACAGAAAACCAAGGTTTTGGGAAAAAATTTGACTGAGACAGAGTCAGAACGGTTTCAGAATGAGACGGAACTTAATGTGGTTAAAGTAAAATACCTAGGGGTAAACATAACAGCAAAAATCTAAGTCTATTTAAGGATAACTATGAAAAATGTTGGACAGAAATTAAGAGAGACTTAGACAGTTGGTCAAAATTGAAACTTTCTTTGTTAGGCCGAATTGCTGCGATTAAGATGAATGTATTGCCAAGAATGTTGTTTTTATTTCAAACACTTCAGGTTTTGGACAAAATGGAGTGCTTTCAGAAGTGGCAGAGAGACATTTCGAAGTTTGTCTGGCAGGGCAAAAGCCCAGAATTAAGTTTAAGATACTAACTGATGCAAAACAAAGAGGGGCTTTGCCCTGCCGGACTTAAAGTTGTATTACGAAGCCGCAGCGTTCTGCTGGCTAAAAGATTGGCTACTTCTTGAAGACACTGATGTGTTAGATTTGGAAGGGTTTAACAATGTTTTTGGATGGCATGCATATTTATGGTATGACAAAGTTAAAGCAAATAAGGCCTTTAAGAACCATATTGTTAGAAAATCACTGTTTAATGTCTGGACAAAATATAAAGACTTGCTGGAAAATAAAACACCAAGGTGGCTTTCACCTTTGGAAGCCAAGGCCCGAAAAGACCCAATATGGAGGCCAAATGGCCAAAATATTGGGAAATACTAGAAAAGATGGAGACAATTGGAAATTGCAGAGTTTGGAGAAAATGAAAGACAAAGTGCGAGATTGGTTACATTATGCTCAGATTAAGGAAGTTTTTAAAAATGATAAGAAACTAGGGTTCCAGGTGGAGAAATCGAAATTAGAAACAGAATTGTTAGAACCAAAGACTAAGATACTTTCAAGGATGTATAACTTGCTGTTGGAATGGAATACACAAGATGAAATGGTTAAATCGGCTATGATAAGGTGGGCACAGGATATTGGGTATAATATTATGTTTGAGGACTGGGAAAGGCTGTGGAGTAACGGACTGAAATTCACTGCATGCAATGCTTTGAAAGAAAATGTAATGAAAATGATTTATAGATGGTATATGACCCCAGTCAAACTTGCAAAAATTTACCACCTGTCTGATAACAAGTGTTGGAAATGTAAAGAGTGTGAAGGAACGTTCTTTCACCTCTGGTGGACCTGCCCTAAAGTGAAGGCGTTCTGGGAAATGATTTATAATGAACTGAAAAAGGTATTTAAATATACCTTCACTAAGAAACCAGAGGCTTTCCTTTTGGGTATTGTCAGCCAAGGGGTGGCAAAGAAGGACCAAACATTTTTATGTATGCAACAACAGCAGCAAGGATACTACTCGCAAAACATTGGAAAACTCAAGATCTACCCACACTGGAAGAATGGCAGATGCAACTGATAGACTATATGCAACTGGCTGAAATGACTGGCAGAATCCGTGACCTGGGAGAAGAGAGAATCGAGGAGGATTGGAAGAAATTTAAGAACTACCTGCAAAAACATTGTGATTTGATTGAATGCTGAATAAGATGCTTGTCTAAATAACTGAGCACCACTTAACTTAGAAGTTTTTAAGAAAATAAGAAAAATTGTGAAAGTTTAACTCTTTATGAGAACTATAAGATCATGAAATATCGAAGAGACATAAGAATTTAAATAAGATGATAAATTGCTGACAAAATGTTATAATGATGAAGGTGGGAGCGGGAGATGTGAGGAAGTCCAAAGAAAATGTGAAATTATGTTAAGACAAATGTTATATTGTTTGTTACATTTATTTCTATTGTAAAATCCAATAAATTGCTTTAAAAAA